ATAAGGCAACAGGAGTTTACTGAATATCTACTTTGTGCTTGACCCTGAGTGCATAAAGAAGCTCAAAGCTTCAACAAGATTTTAATGTGGTTGCAGGGAGGAGACAGAAAGTTGAGCAATGCAAATTGTATGAACAATATAAGAGATGACAGTAGGAGAGAGGTGACTCAAGGAAATTGGACATCACATGTGTGGCACAGAGTTCCGGGATATAAGCACTGAAACAATTTCTAGAGCACTGGTTCACAAAGTGAGGATGGTCAGCAAGCTCTGCTCTGTGTTCAAATATTGTCACAGACTGGACACATTTGGGATGCTTTGAGGAGGAGTTTTTGACTTGGATCTATCTGCAAGACTCAGGGATATAGACAGCAAAGATAAATTTGGCACATAATTGGTGTTGTGATAGCTAGCAAGGTCTGGAATAATAACATATGTCAGGAATAGATGACAGGGTAAGGGCTGAACTTTAGCTATTTAGTTTTAACTCTTGCCCTGGCTATCCCTGTGTAGTTTCTGCAATAAAAAAAGGAGTGAGGAGGACCCTGTGACAGGCAGGCTCTTCAGAGTGGGGCCTCTGTTATCTGCACCTTGCATGGATCTTTGAGTTCAGGGTTTGGTCTCAGCTTTAAACTGGCTAGGATCAGTTCAGCCAAGTCTGGTGAAATTCTAAGGGACCATTTCAGAGCAACCAAACTCCCTCTTATGTGCATTTGTAGGAAGCTCCAGGAGATATTAACGTTGAGGATTCACCAACCACAGCTTGAGTGATCAGATTCTAGAACACTGTTTCTCAAAGTGTGAACGGTGAGCAAACATGGTCTGGGAACCTGTTAGATATTATCAGTCCCCACCAGACCTCTGCTGAATCTAGGGGTGGGGCCAGCAATCTGTTTGAACAATCCCTCCAGAAGGTTCTGAGGGGTGACAAAGACAGAATAGCCCTGCTGCAGGGGGAACTTGCCGTGGGTTGGTTCCATCCTTTCGATGTCAGACTCAGTATCATTCTAGGTATTGCTGTGTGAGGTGCCCCTACTTTCTCTGACCTTGCTTGTCCTCTGTGCTTGGATGACAGTTCTTTCCTGGTCAGCTCCTGTGAGAGGAGGCTGTTTATATTTTATACTCCAAGTATCTGCTAGACTTTAATGGAATATTTTAAAAAGTACAGCAGTTTTCATAAGTATCCTGGTCCTTTGTGTTTTCCAACCATATGTTTCAAATCCAATCTCAGTTCAAAGAGACATAAATGAATGACAGTAGCATTCTAACAGGCACCGGATTTAAAATAAAGGTACAATTCATACGTATTTCTTAAAGGCTTGTGTGAATGCAAGCATTAGGGCAAGAGCATCAATACTTCCACTGATGCTGATGCTAAAAACCAAGCTTTGTTTTTTATGTATTTGTTTAGTTTTTTTATTTTTACTATCCACAGATCTCTGTGGGACTCTGTCAACCAATTCCCCCCATTCCTATCCTCAACCCCCAGAAAAGGCACATAGACACAGACGTTTCTGCATTTCATGAGGCTGGTTCTAAGTGCCAAGTAGCTGACAGGAGCTAACATAAAGGGGAGAATTTATTAACTGAATGTCAAGGTGTCTCTTACAATCCAGGGTTTGGCTGTCATGATAATGCATGTAGGCTTCAGCACCTAGGAGGACTAGAAAGCTTTTAGGATCCATTAGTCTGTTGTATGCTGGGAAATGTTTAATAATCAACTGGGGGAGGGGCAGCCCTGATTTGTGGACTTTTCTACTCTCACCAGGACAGATTTCATGGCTACCAGTTGCTTAACAATTGGTCCAAAATCCCTGAAATTTAACCCTCTGCTCTCTGAGCTGATGTTACTAGGCTCAGCTTTGGAGGCTGGACCCATGGAAGAGTCATGTCTGTGAGTTGAGTACTGGGGAGAAAGAAAGGCTTTATTCATTGACCAAAGAATGGAAGAGAAAGGGTTTTGCTCACAAATCAGCTTCTCAACTCCAGAGTCAAGGGGTTACAGACACAGGAGAGGAATCATGAGGAGAGAGAGAGGCTAAGGAAGGGGAGGAATAGTCCTGTGTTTTCTGGGAATAGGCAGAGATCTACCAGGAACTCTGATGTCACCTCTTTTCATTCCTTTCATGATCTGGTACTTCTGGTCGTGGAAGCTGGTAGGTGCCTTTAGCCTTGAAGTAGGGAGACTGAGAGCCACAAGGCAAGTCTGGTAAAGTCAACCCTATATTATACTTTGCAGAAAACATTTCTCCAGTGTTCTCAGCAGGGCTGAGTAGAATTAGGCTCAGATGTTGAGGCAACAAAGGAGAGAGACACAGTATGAAGATAGAGATGCCAGCTTTTTTATCCCATCCCAGTTGCCCATCCGACATCTGTAGGCCCAAGTGAAGAGTCACTTTCAGCAACAGTGGGCCTCAGGTCCCTGAAGGACCCTAGAGAGCTATTGTCATAACCCACAGGTATCATCTACAGCAAAGCCAGTGGGGGATTAATAATGTTATTGCCTAGCTGTGTGTCCTCCAAAATTACTGTTTTTTTTTTTTATAAGTCAATTAAGAGCAAGTGAAAAAAGAAGGTTTATTTAGCATTTTCCTTGATAACACTTACGGCTGGCTAGGATAGGTCACCCCATTCCTTCAGTGTTCCAAGTCTCTTCTTTGCATAACTGCCTTATTCTTTTCTTTATCTGCAGATTAACTTTTGCTCATCCTATCTGTGTTTAATGTTGGCACAAAAACCCAGTCAATCTCAGTATTTCAGAATATTTTATAATTCTGGACACATCTCGTCAGCCCCTCAGCATGGCAAGAACATCAATACAAAAGTCACTGGAAAGAAGCCAGTGTGAAAATTTGGAAAGCCCTGTAGTTTATCTTATAGGTGGTTTACACATGTGGAAACTCACAGGTGATTTGAAGGGAGGCTGATCACTATAGGAGGAACGAACTGCCATTAGTTCTAGCTCGCTGATCACTCTAGGAAGACATATGTGCATGTATTTCATTCAGTTCTCACAACTAGCCATGACATTGGTCTGTTTGTTTACTTAAATTTAGTAGATGAGGAAGCTGGAGTTTAAGGACTTGCCCACAGCACCAAGGCTAGATGGTGACTGGACCAGAAATACCAGGACCTGCTAACCTCAGGTGAACCACTCCTCTCTGCATTAGATCGAAGTCCTACTCTAATGAGACAGGAAGCTCTGGACACTGAGAGGTGGAACGGAGCCCAAAAATCACACACCCTGCCTTCTGTCAAAATGCCATCTTGACCTCAAATTTAGTTTGAGGTCAAGTTGGCATTTATTTGTGACGCATGAATCAGGGTAGCCTTCATTATGCAAAATAATATTCCCATGAGGCAATAGCAGAACAGTGGTTTTATAAAATGGAAACAAGGAAACAGAAGAGCAGGGGAAAAATGGATTGGTTAACATTAGGTTATTTTAGGTTACGTTTTTTGGAAGTGTGAAAGCAGAAGGGACTTCCTTGTTATGCTGACTCAGGCAGACTGGAATCTATTGTTTTAATAAAAAATTGGAGTAT